GACTGGTGTTGAGGTCAAGGACATTGATCTCGTGATGACTCAAGCTGGTGTCTCAAGGCCCAAAGCTGTTAAGGCTCTTAAAGCCAATGATGGAGACATCGTTTCCGCCATTATGGAACTCACTACATAGGTTGAGTTGCAGAGACACGTTATTTTATTTTACTTCAGTACTCATTTTGCTTAGCATTTTTCCCAAACATCATTTGTGTTAAATCTACTTTTAAGGCTGTTTCCCCACCCTTCTCTGAGCCATTAACGAAGTTGCTTCAAATCTATAATATGAGACATTCATGGCTAATGTTGTAGACAATTTAGTAAGAATGATTGGAAGAGTAATGTTTTTACATAAGATAATGATCCAAACAGATCCCAAAAAGCTAAAACGTTTGTTTTGTGGCTTATCCAATAACTGGCAAGTGCAAGAAAAAACTAATTACAACTCATAAGGTTTGTTATGTATTGAGGAGTTTCAACAACACTTGAAACAGATTCATGATCTTCTCTGTATTCGGAAGGTCATTAATTTTTTTATCTACAAGCACATTTTCTAAGCAAAATTTCTCCACTAGTGTCCATCCACAGACTCCCCAGACCTGAGATTATGAGTCTGTTCTTTGAGATGCAGCTGCTTTAATTTCTACACGACTAGCTGCAAAATCGAAAGCAAACGCTCTTTTAAACTTCACTGATTGCTATGAAATTAAAGTTGGGATGATTTGATGTCACCTTGTATATCTTCTCAACTTCCCCACTAATTGCTCAAACTCTTGTTTTCGATAGAAATGTTTCGTATTCCATCAAAGACCTATCTGCTTTAGCCTTGAGCCATAAACTTTTATAGAAGAACACCTGTGGGCTGATCTGCTCTTCCGTTTGATAATTCCCTAAAACCTGCACATTCTCAAACTAATAGTATGTCTTCCGAAAAACACTAAAAATAAAAAAAATATGTCGGAATGTATACAATTAGAGACTATACCTTGCCAAAGCCATTTTCTTTGGTTACACCATATTCAAAATGAGAATCTGCTCCTATTTCCCCTGAGACCATGGAGTACTTCTCTTGCCTTTTAACATCAAGGTTGGCACTCATGTTCTCCGCCTTTGGTATCCGATGGTCTTTAATCGATAGCTATAGAGAACATTTGGAATTATAGAGATAGATTAACACATAATCATTTCTATTTATCTACAAGAAATGATAACAGATTATTTCCCACCTGCGTTTCAGAGGAATAGGCTATAAGCGAACATTCAAGGAAGGTATAGTTAGAAAAGTAAAACGCTTCGCGGAATAAAGATACAAACTTTGGAACTGAATATAAGAGATAAGCTGCATATAGTCCTTTTCATGCGTTCTAGATGTTCCCTAAATTCCCATGTGCTTTAAGATAGTAAAATGTTTCGATAAACTCACTCACACCGATTAATGTATGAGAATATACCTTACTTAAAGTTGCAAGAACATACCTTACGCATACTAGGCAAAGAATTGAAATCAGATGGATTGTGTACAGAGCTTGAATAATTCCCATTATGCTCCTGAACTCTGCTATTGGCGTACGCATTGAGATTCTGTACAGTACAGTTGATGAGATCAAGATCTTGCTCATTTAGTAAATCTGAAGATTCTGGTCCATGAACATGTGTTAGCAACTCTGACAGCCCATGCATCGTCGTAAGGAGTTTCTTAACATCCATTTTTGGAGATGGTGATGATGTGGAACAGCCATGTCTCTGGCCAAAGTCAGATACATATTTCACATCGCTCGAAGATGAGCTCACTGCAGGTTCGAAGATATGAAAAGGCAGAAGATTTCCAAAATCGTTATTATCCTTCACTGGAATTACAGCTTTTGGGTCCACCGCAAGCTTACCAGTAGACACAAAGTTATCATCTACCTTTGTGGGTTGATAAGAGACATACTTTAGTGAAGAATTTCCATGTAATGTGATGGGAGGGAGATGTTCCATCTGCATTGTACCAACTTCATTAAAAGATGGCTCTGCATCAACTGAGGATTGTGCAAAGCCTGGATGTTGCTCTTTAAGGTTCCTATAGCCAGGAGGAGAGAACAAAACGGAACAATTCACTTGGGAGGGGAAATCATTAGCAGCTTGGTTGTTTTCACAGCCATATACTTTTTGTTTAGTATCTGCTAGCGAGAACTGTGGGGCCAGAGGATTAAGCTTCTTCGGAACACGAGACTTATTGCTGGAACTATCCAGTTTTGTATTCTCAGAAATCTTAACTTGAGATCCAAGCCGGGGGTTGAATGGATAGCTTCTTCCTGACTCATGAACATAATTAGAGTAGGGGTTACTAGAACTATGGTCGACCTCTGAAGAATGTGTCGCAACCTCTGCATTATTTAAGAACATATCCTCTGAAGCACTTAAAGCATAAGATGACTGAGCATTTGTCTCAATGGCTATCATGTGATCTGCTACACCATGCTTCTCATGGACAACTGCACTTAGTTTTGCACTAGCAGGAACAAAAACCGGGGCCAAAGGATCCAGCTTTTTAGGCATTTGAAACTGACTGCTAATATCCAATATGCTCATAGTCTTGGAAACACTATCTTGCGATATTAAACCCAAACTTTCATCCGCATCGTTGATCAGGATCTCTATTCTGTTCTTTTGGCCGGAATCTTGTGGAATCTCTGCTTCAGAAGGATCGGTAATGCTGAACTCTCCTGATGATGGTGGAAAGGTTGAAGACAGAGACCTTTTCAAAGACGAAGAACTGTTTTCTTCAAATTCCTTCTCGTTCTTGTCTAGGTTCTTTTTAGCGCTGGATGGTATAAACTGAGGTGCCAAAGGATTCAATCGATAAAGACTATTTAGATCCTCGCTAGAACGCCTGAAACTCAATGACATGGTACCTGATGCCGCAGAATTGTGAGACTGTGTCCCTCTCCAGCAAGGAGAATCCACCTCAACGTCATCTTGGTCAGAAGGTATAAAAGATTTCGACATTTTGGCGAAGAGTGGACTAGAATTGCTTACATTAATATCTTTCCTCACCATAGCTGACTTGTCCTTGGTGCAGGGAAGCCATCCCTCTGCTTCATCATCACCAGAGTTATCATTAGATACCACAACATTCTTAGCCACTGGAGTTATACGAGTAACTCCAAGACCCGATGCTTTTAGTGGAACCACTGCTAACGAAGGAGAAATTCGAGGCTTAGAATCCACACACTTCAAATCAGAGTCAAGAAAATCTGGGAGCTTGAGAAATGAATCAGAATTTCCACCCTTCCTTATTTCCAGATCGAACCTCTGGTCTTTCACAGGCAGTGCAAAATCTCCCTTAGCTCCTAACCCATAAGCAGCTAAACCATATCTCTCTGATTCTTCCGCTACACGAATTACACAGATCCACAAATGTCAAAGAAGAACACAAAACAGTATCCGGAAAATCTCAGTTCCAATTTTTTATACTCACAACCACAAATTGAAAACGAATCACACTCCTACTCGATCACTACAATACTCTACAACATAGAAACGACTCCAATAACATTCGAGAGAAAGAAGATGAAAAATGAAATTCACCTTTAGGAGGAGGAACAGTGGTGGAATCCGCAAGGCGTGACAAATTAGATAGAGAATCATCATCACCGACACCACTTTTCTGATCGTCGGATGTCAAAAAGGAGAAATCGAAAGTGAAATCACCCCAGAAAGAATCATCGGGATCAGATTCAGAAGCAGCGAAAGAAGAACCGATTGCAAATGGTGGAGCGAAAGGAGACAAACCACGATCACACTGCTTCATCTTTTTCTCTGTGTGGCTATGGAGGAGATTTCGAAACTTGTGTGGATAACGAACAAGGGAAAGGATTTGCAGAGAAGAAGAAGACCAGATTCCACCTTCCCTTCCCTTTGTGTTTTTTCACTTATGCTCTGTGTTTCGATTGGATTAGGATTTGATTTACTGATTAAAGATGAAACGCTTTTTTTTAATTACAGTTCAGTCCTTTGTTTTTTTTTGCAATCGGCCATTGATAGTAACTAGAGATAAATGGCTAACGATAAACGATTAGCGTTACGTTTTTGTAGTTATTAACTACCATTGACTAATGATAGCGATTATATTTTGTTCAGTGATAGATTTTGGTAACAAATTTTGGCAATTAGTGACTAAAGATTTTAGTCGCTAAAATTCTCTAGTGTTTAAACTTTTAATCGTTGATAAATATCGCGGTGGCAACAACTTAAACAAAAAAAAAAGACAAGATGTACTCGCTAATCGCGATTTTTAAAAAAAATTATGCCAATTTTTATTTCTCTAGTGTATAACCATTTACACCCTAAGTAAAATGTTTATTTCCTTTTCGGTGATTATAACTTTCATTAAGGACTTGTTAGTTAGTTAACTCTAAGTCTCTAACGAGTCCTCGGCCCTTGTGACAAGAAGAATATTCTAACAATTCCTCGGACATGCATATATACTGTTGTACTCTATACATAATGTATAGAGATGTATCATTTGTTTCTTTGATTGTAACTAAAATTAGTTAATAACTTTTTATGAACGTGTACATGTACTTTTCCTCGTCATGATGCCAAACCCTGCTTCAAACTAAAACAACTTAACATTAATCAAAAAAGAAAAAAAA